CCCCCCAACCCTGGACCCCAACAGGCGGGTAGCCGTCCCGGACCGGACCGGAAGGTAGCGGGAGGGACTCCTGAAGTGAGGGGTGGGTTGGCGGACGGTAGACGCTCTCTCTCGGAGACTGTCCGAGGGCTAGAATTCAGAGAAAACTTTCTTCTCGTGCTCCACCCGGTGAGCTCCCAAATCTGCAAGCCGGGAGACTTGGGAAGAGAAAGTGGGGGGGATGAGGGGGGTGAGGTAGGGTCCAGGAGTGTTCATAGAGTTGGGTTATGTACGAACCAGGAGAATAATTCCTTTCTGAATGGAGAGCTGTCCCCCCTGCTCCAGCCCCATACTTAGAACCCTCACCCTCTTTCAAAAGAATGGCAGTTGAGACTCACTGGCCCTCTGGGGAGGCTGGGAGCTACTCTCACCCCCCTCCCCTATTACCTTTCCTCTGCTTCTCATTCACCTGGAGGCTCTACTTACCTTCCACTGGAAAAAGAGGAAATAATGACCTTGAATATGTCTAAAAGCCACACCCCAATTACCCAGGAATAACTACTGACAGTACCTTTCCTTTCTGACTTCCTAAGGGAGTTTTGGGGGGTGGTGTCTCCCTAAGAGAGTATGTTTGTAACCATATTCTCATCTGTGTTTTTCCAACCTCTCCAAGTGAAACTGAAGGTGTGCCCAGTACTGCCATCCGAGAGATCTCTCTGCTTAAGGAACTTAATCACCCTAATATTGTCAAGTAAGTGTAGTCTGAGAGATGACCACCAAGGTGAATTCTGTTTGTTTTAGCCTTAGAATTTCTCTCCCTCAACTGCATTTCCTGAACCTTCTCTTGCAGGCTGCTAGATGTCATCCACACGGAAAATAAGCTTTACTTGGTTTTTGAATTTCTGCACCAGGACCTCAAGAAATTTATGGATGCCTCTGCTGTCACTGGCATTCCTCTTCCCCTCATCAAGGTAACCTTCCTCAATTCCAGCTCAGGTATCTTGGGGAAATTAGAGGCAGGTAATTCAGACTGGTTATATTTTGGCTTGTTTCTCAGGCTTCAACACTCCCCGACCCCTTTTATTTGTGTCTGTTGGTCTCTTCCTGTTCATTATAGTCATTAGCCATAGGAAGGACCGAAGAATCATAACCAAGGTCCTGCGAGCCACCTAGACAGCTCAGGCAGATCAGATACCACTCAGAAAATGGGATTGAGGGTAGTTGGTGGGTTCCTCAAAAAAAAAAAAAAGTTCCACCTGTGATGTGGGAGACAACCAGAACTGTATTCACTCCTGGAGTTAATGAATATCAGCAGTTACATATTTGACACAGTTATTTAACACAGGCATGTGCTAGGCACAGGGTATTGAAAGGGATGCAAAAATTAAGTAATATCTGGTCTTTATCCTTGACAGGCTGAAAAATACAATGAAAGAAGTAGCTATTAAATGTGTGGTTGTGTTGTAAGGTGTGTTGGCTCATGATTGTAATCCTAACACTCAGGAGGCTGAGGCAGGAGGATGTCTGTAAGTACAAGGACACCCTGGCCGGGCGTTGGCGGCGCCTTTAATCCCAGCACTCAGGAGGCAGAGGCAGGTGGATCTCTGTGAGTTTGAGACCAGCCTGGTCTAAAAGAGCTAGTTCCAAGACAGCCTCCAAAGCCACAGAGAAACCCTGTCTTGAAAAACCAAAAAAAAAAAAAAAAAAAAAAAAAAGACAGCCTAGGCTACACTTGTAAGCCTATCCTACAGTTCCAGGCCAGGAAGGCACTATCATAAAAAACAAACAGGGCTGACAAGATAGCCCAGCAGGTAAAGGCACCTGCCTCCAAATCTGATGACCTGATGACCTGAACTCCATCCCCAGGTCCCACATAGTACAAGAAAACCAATTCCTGCAAGTTGTCCTGATTTCCTCGTTTGCACAGTGCCATGCCCCCCCATAAATAAGTAATAAGTAAATAAGTAAATAAATAAATAAATATGCAATCTAAAGAATTAAACAAAATCCCCCAAAAATACGTAATGGAGTTATCATCTCACATGATTAAGGCTTTACTGCATTTTGAGGGCAAAGAGCAAGTTGTATCTGTTAACGGTGGTGACTGAACAAACCTTCCTCTCTCCTTTGTCAGAGCTATTTGTTCCAGCTGCTCCAGGGCCTAGCATTCTGCCATTCTCACCGGGTCCTGCACCGAGACCTTAAGCCCCAGAATCTGCTTATCAATGCAGAGGGGTCCATCAAGTTGGCAGACTTTGGACTAGCAAGAGCCTTTGGAGTCCCTGTTCGTACTTATACTCATGAGGTAGGTCCCCCTATGATTTTTCTTCTTTAAGAATCTTAGGGAGATGTTCATACCAGGGCAGGAGTTCCTTGGTAAATAGAATCTCTGACAACCCAAGGGTCTTTTTTTTTTTTTTTTTTTTTTTTTTTTTTTTTTGGTTTTTTGAGACAGGGTTTCTCTGTGTAGCTTTGGAGCCTATCCTGACACTTGCTCTGGAGACCAGGCTGGCCTCGAACTCACAGAGATCCGCCTGCCTCTGCCTCCCAAGTGCTGGGATTAAAGGCGTGGCCACAAACACCCGGCTCAACCCAAGGGTCTTTACCTATTTATTTAAAGTGTCTGAGTGTTTTACTTGCATGTATGTCTGTATTGCATGCCTGCCTGGTGCTCACAGAGGTCAGAAGAAGGTGTCTGATCCCCTGGAAATGTAGTTACAGACTGTTGTGAGCTTTCATATAGATGCTGGGAATTGAACCTGGATCCTCTGCAAAAGCAACAAGCACTCTTAACTTCTGATCCTCTGTCTAGCCCTTAACCAAAGGGTCTTAGGATATGCACTGAATTCATACTATGAGATTACCTGGCCTTAGATACAAGCCAGGAAGGTTGATTGGCATACCATTTAAATGACTCAGATTTTCCAGGAACGTCCCAAATCTGGGGGTTTTGGGATACTCAACTGGGGATGGAGAGAAGGCTCAACAGTGAGGAGCATATGATGCTCTTTCAGGTAAACTGTGTCAGGCAGTTCACCATCACCCTTAACTCCAGCTCCAAGGGATCAGACACTTTCTTCTGGCCCTGAGGACACTGCACAGTTGTGGTATACACAATGCATGTATACACATTATTAAAGTAAAAAACCATAATAAGATCCATCTTAAAAAGAGAGGGTGGAGGGCAGCAGGGTTTTGTTGAATTGAGGTATGTGACCTTGTCCTCTTGCTTCCCAGGTGGTGACCCTGTGGTACCGAGCACCTGAAATCCTTCTAGGCTGCAAGTACTACTCCACAGCCGTGGATATCTGGAGTCTGGGCTGCATCTTTGCTGAAATGGTATGGAGGCTTGCCAGGTTCTATCCAGCCCACTCTTGCCTGCATCCAAGCGCAAAACCCATTTCTTGGCCTGAAGTGGTCCTTTATCACAGAGTTCTCTCAAGTATCACCCTCTGTAGAGGTAGTGGCCCTGATACCAACTCAGTTTTAGAATATTCCTAAATAGATTTAGTTACCTAGTATTTTATCTCTTACCCAAAATGAGCTAAATCCATTCCGTACCCATCAGCTGCTTTGTTTTGTTTTCTGTTTTTGTTATTTTATTTTGAGACAGTCTCACTGTGTAGCCCATTTATAGTCTCGCTCTCTCCCGCTTTAGCTCCACTTCCCGCCATTACCATCTAGCTCATGGGACTGAGCTGACAGGCATGACCCACCATACTCATTCAGCTGTTTCAGCTTTAATCCTCAAATATTTGGAAGAGTGAATTCCTTTTAGTACAACAGGTGGCCCACAGGCCTCAACACATAATCATAGACTTATTTAAACAGGGTGGGTTTTTGTTTTGTTGGTGGTGGGGCATTTTTGTTTTGCTCCTTTGTTTTGTTACTTTTTTATTTTTATTTATTTTTTTTACATCCCAACCAAAGTTTCCCCTCCCTTCCCTCCTCCCACTTCATCCCCTTGTTTATTTTTTAAAGGTATTTTTTTCCTTCCTTTTTGTTTTTTATTTTTACTTTTTAAAAATTTTTTATTTTTATTTTTATGTGTATTGGTGTTTTGCCATGGGTGTCAGGCCCCCTGGAACTGGAGTACAGACAGTTGTGAGCTGCCATATGGGTGCTGGGAATTGAACCCAGGTCCTTTGGGAGAGCAGTCAGTGCTCTTAACACTGAGCCATCTCTCCAGAACTTTGTAGATGACAGCATCATGTCAGAGTGTCAGAAGTTTGGAGAGGTCTGATTTTTGTCTCCTTCATTTAACCTATAGACCCGTTCTTGGAATTTAGTAAAGCTAAATTCATTCAACTGCTCCACATCTATCGTTTTTGTAGACTTGGTCATGCCCTGCCTCCTCAACCGCTGGCTTTTCAGACTGAAGGATCCTTGAAGCATAGCATAGCTTCAGTATGGGAGCTCCCATCCCATTTAATGCAACAGTGGATCAACAGCTCAGTAACTGTTTTTTTTTTTTTTTTTTTTTTGGTCTTTTATCTGGGTTGAACCTGGGGGCTTGGAGACCATTCCCCTAGATATAGATATACATATAGAATGTGAATTTATCCACCAGTACCTTACAATTGCCCATATTCCTCTCTCAATTCATCAAAAAATATTTGTTAAGCACCTAGTGTGTACCCAGCACCATGCTAAGTGCTGTGGGGAACACAGAAGAAATGGAAGACACAGTCTCTGCCCGCTGTGCTCCTATCTAGAAGTGGCTGCGTCACAAGGAGGGGGGATGACCGCAGTGTCTACCCCATACCCCGTGAGTGGCTTGGGATCCCTTTGCTACATGTCAGTGGCACCCCAGACATTCACCCCCTCCCAGCCCCACCCAGCCTTGGGGATCGACAAAGCCATGGTTGGGGGAAGGAAGGAGGAGGGGGCGAGGAGGCAGATGAAGGGACTTCATTGTCTCAAGTTCTGTATGACCGACCCCATGAAAAGCCCCGGGGAGGGGAGTCATGGGGCCCTGCTGACCTTCCACTGCCTGTGGGAACCTCCTCCGAACAAGGGGCAGTGTGGACTGACGTCAATGTGGGGCTTGGCCTTTCCTCTTGTTCCCCATTTTCAGGTGACCCGGCGGGCCCTGTTTCCCGGAGATTCTGAGATCGACCAACTCTTCCGGATCTTCCGAACTCTGGGGACCCCTGATGAGGTGGTTTGGCCGGGAGTCACTTCTATGCCTGATTATAAGCCGAGTTTCCCGAAGTGGGCTCGGCAAGATTTTAGCAAAGTTGTGCCTCCACTGGATGAAGATGGGCGGAGCTTGTTATCGGTAAGAGCCGGGAGGGGGTGCCCACATAAGCGCCTCTCCCATTCCCCAGAGAAGAGAAGCAGATCCCCTCAACTCCGTTAGAATTACCCTAGTCCTCCATTCCTCCGCTCATCGGTAGGCTGGTTCAGCATTGGGAGAAGGGAAGAAGTGAGGTCTGGGTCCCAGGTTTCCGAGCACACCTGCTCTGCATTGGGTCCACTGTTACATCACTGAAGTCAGAATATATTTCTCCCTCCAGCAAATGCTGCACTATGACCCCAACAAGCGGATTTCAGCCAAAGCAGCCCTGGCCCACCCTTTCTTCCAGGATGTGACTAAGCCAGTACCCCACCTTCGGCTGTGATGTCCTTCCCAAAGCCTTCCTCACCCTTGGTCTGACTTGACTCTGGGCCTTTTGGACACAGGTCAGCCTTCTACTCTTTTCTGGCTGTCTTAGCACTCACTTTTTCTCTTGGCCAGCCAGTTCCCGGGACTCAGAGGTGCAGGGAAAGATGAGGTGACAGGAAAAAGTTTTGGTATCAGATGCACTTAACCCAGCTTCCACTACCTTCTCTCCCTCTTAGTCATCACTGAGGGTTGGTATGCAAAACAAAACAAAACTGACCATTCTCTACCCACCCCCATGTCAAGTTTGGCCATCCCAGTCTTATAAATTATTGTGTCCCATGTTTAGGAAGACACACCCCAGACCTCCTGGTGCCACTGTTTTATAAAGGCCAACTGATAAGTTGGGACATTTAGGAACCAAGCCACAGAGGTCTATTTTAATGAATTAGATGAAAAAAAAAATAGATCCAAACAGTTTATACCTTAGTTGTAGTGTCTGGCCTCGCCCGACAATCAAGGAGGCCCAGCTGGAGAAGCAGAAGAAATGTTCCCTTTCAGCACTCTGTCTACCTTCTGCAGGGCAAGAAGTCAGGAGGGGGATAGGGATTGGTCTGTTCACCATAATTCACAAGGCAAGGTGAAAGACACTGGAATCTTTCTTTTAGTAATTTTGTTTTCTGGTGCTAACGACTGAACACAGGACCTCGCCCTCACTAAGCAAATGCACCACCCGTATGCCAGATTTTCTAGCTCCTCTTTTTGGCGTTTTAGCTCTTCAGTTTGTCAGAGGTCCCTGTTGCCATCTTCTTCCTCTGAGAGTCACCCCTGACTCCATAGTGGAAGTGAAGCTTTAGATGTCACTTTGAAAGGCTTTGACCTGGTCAGGTCATCGGGGGACATTTTCTATAAAAGAGTTAACAATTATATTTATATTTCAAGTTATAGTAGTTTGGATATTTTAGTGTTTTGATTTTTGTTTTTTTGGGGGGCGGGGCAGTGTGGATGGATTTGTTGCCATGTGCACTTTGGAATTTTGTAATGCAATTGTTGAAAGAAAATATTTCTTTTATGATCTTCTCCCTCTACCCCTTGTCCTCCAGTGTTCTGTTAATATTATTTGTAATTTAGTTTGTAATTCATTAAAAGAAATTATTCTCAGTTGTATAGTGGATCTCTTTCATATTTTATCATTTATATATTTTCTGAAAGAACTGAGCGGGTCACAACCTGAATGTGAATAAGTGATTTCAGAGCCCTTTTCCTAATGTTTGTAAATGCAGGACATCCTCCCATGCCTTTGCACTTGGGATGGTTGTGAGTGTGAGCAAATTGGGTATTGTCTTAGGGAAACTGAAGCTTCTTTCCTACCTTTTCCTATCGACCAGCTAAACCTCTCCTATTCCTGCTCACACGTGCACATGAATAGAGTGCTGTTTCAGTTTTTCTGTTATCAGCAACTTGACTGAGTGGGCTTCAGCACCCCATTTCCCAGTAGGCTTTTACCATTTGTGTAGGTTTTTTTGTTTCTTTGTTTTGGTCTTGAAATTATGTATACATGTGTGGGTCTGTGAACATGAGTGTCAAGTGCCTGCAGAGGCCGGAAGAGGGCACTGGATCTCCTACAGCTAGTTACAGGCAGTTGTAAGCCCTGTGGTGTGGGTACTGGGAACCGACATTGGGTTTTCTGCCAAGAGTGGTACTTGCTCTGAACTGCTGAGCCATCTCTCTAGCCTAGCCTGCCAGAGAGAGACCCTCGTTTCAATCCTCAGTACTACCAAAAAAAAAAAAAAATCCTTAGCATAGTTGTCTAAATATTTTCACATTTACACACAATTCAGAAAATACCAATTACATGACAATTTAGGAGGTCTAAAATGTCTTCAGACTACCGCTCTTTGTTGACCATAAAAAAATAGGCAGTCCACCCAAAAACCCCTGTTCTCTAATGCTCCTCTAAAAAGAACTTCTGAGAGAAAGTTCCCAGATAGGATGTCTTCAATTTGACACGGAAGGCGGGGCACTAGGGTAAGCAGAAGAAGACAAGGTTAATACCAGTCTCTCTCTCTCTCTTCTTTTTTCCACGAGACAGGGTTTCTCTGTATTGTTTTGGAGCCTATCCTGGAACTAGCTCTTGTAGACCAGGCTGGCCTCGAACTCACAGAGATCCCCCTGCCTCTGCCTCGGAGTGCTGGGATTAAAGGCGTGCCCCACCACCGCCCGGCTCAGTCTCTTGTTTTTTTGTTTTTTGTTTTTGTTTTTCTTAGTAGTGTCTCACGATGTGATGTGCTGTGTAGACCAGGCTGGTCTGGAACTCATGGAGATTGCTAGGATTAAAGGCGTGGGCCTCCAAACCCAGGGTTTGGGTTTTTTTTTTCCCCTCCTCTTAAATTGAGACCTTGTCTCAAGGAGCCCAGGCTAGCCTTGAACTTGCTAGGTGAAGGGAGGATGACCTAGAACGCCTAATCCTGCCGCCACCTCCCAGTGCTCGATTAGGCGGGGATGCAAGCCACACCACACCCGGCCTTTACAGGGCAGCTTTCGCGCTCGCCTTGCCTGCCACTCAAGTTCGGAAGTGTCCTAGCACTGGTTAAGGTTTCCTTTTGTCCCGCCTGCTTCACTCACCTGATTAGATGTTTACGAGTCAAAAGGCGGGGGAGGAGTGTCACGGGTGTCGAGGTTTCATTGGCTGACGCAGATGCCCGTCAGTACTGCACCGCCCTCTTTCCCAGGATATCTCTCTCTAATGGTTGCTCACCCCGTCAATCTTCAAGGCTTCTCGTTTAGGTATTGGCTCGCGGCCCCGCCAGTCAAGTCTCTCCCTGTACTGGTTGGTGACAGTCCCCCAAAGCCCGCCTTTCTCCAGAAGATTGGCGGGTGAACGCACATATAGCCCACCTTCCACAGTAGGCGGGTGATCCTGCGATTGGCTGGAGCCCTCGCCCTGGCGAGGAGGAGGAGGAGGAGGAGGAGGAGGAGAAGGGGGCAGGAGGTTTGGTTGAGCACCAGCTGTTTGTCTGTTCCACACAGGCTTGGGCCCGACGGGGGAGACGGAGCCCCAGGTACCGAGCTGATGGAGCCCGCAAGGGCAGAGGCGGAGGTCCAGAGAGGAGCGCAGCCCGGCCTGCGGCCGAGGCGGCTCGGGCCTAAGCCAGGGCTAGCTAGCCCCCCGGAGCGGGCAGAGGGGCCGCCCCGGCAGGCCTAGTGGGGGCGCTGAGGAGGTGATCGGCAGGGGTGGGAGCCGCGCCTCCCAGTCTGGGAGGCGGCTGGGTTCTGGCTGCGGCCGCTCAGGGGCCGGGCGCGGGGACCCGGAGCCGGTGTGGACCAGGGCCGGCCTTGGTCCTCCGAGCACCGCGGCGAGGAGGGAGGAGCTGGGGTCGGGGACCAGGCAGCGACGGAGGGAGGGGAAGCCCGTTTGGCTAGGAGGTGTGGAGGGGTCAGCGCTACGCCCAGCCCCGAGGGTGGTAGCCGAGGCTGGGTCTCTAGAGACAGACGTCCGGTGTCGGGGGTGCGGAGCCGGCCGAGCGAGAGGCATTCTTTTCAGCGCAAGTGGCTGTTGGAAGGGGGACTGGGGGTGCTCTGGTGTTGTCGATAAAGAGGGATTTGGTCTCGGTGAAGCAAGAGTCTCAGTAAATGAAGAAGAATGCATTGCTGAGCTAGAACATCAAAGTAGACGGAAGTAGAAGCAGGGCCTGGTATCAGTTATGGGAACTTCTGGAATGATGGTGAGGAGAGGCTCTGTATCTTGCAGTTCCTTACTCTTTTGTTCCCTTAGCCTTTTAGATGTGGTGGTTTCAAGTTTTGGGGGCACTTGAGAAGTAGGAATGAAGACAAAGGTAAAAATCATGTTTTCCGTGGCTCCAGGTTCAGCCCCCGCCCCCCCCCAACTTTTAATTTGCCTGGCCTCAAAGCTAGTCTTGACTGCAGTCTGCTTTCTTTTTGCTTGTTTGTGCCCCCCCCCACCCCGTCTTCTAC